AACTTTGGTTGTTTTAAAGTGCTTAACAAATAAAGTTGGATTGGATTGGATTCTTTTTACGCTCCAATAAATAAACAATTTTGCTTTGTTTTCACTGAATATTACTGCAAACCACTCACCTTGCCAAACAGGCCTTTTATAGATTTAACATCCTGATTATCCCGAGGAAAGCATTGAGGCATGAAAAAGCTCAATCAGGAGCAATTTGTGAAGACAATTCCAGAACATGATTCATTTATGAATCACTGGCTGCTCACTATTTGCTCAGGGAGTGAGAAATGCCTACGGGAAACCATATTACGACAATATAATGGCTGTAACAAGCTGGCGACCCCCAGTGACATAACGACAACAATGGTTATCTTACTGCAGGTGCTACTTTACAATGTAAATATTTCTTCGGTTAAACAACAATGGGTTTGGCAGGATGTAAGCTAAGACATAAGAGACACTCCCTTATTTATTGATTATAGGCCCTGAGGGCTGCCCCAAATCCCCCAACTGTTAAACATTTGGAATATGGACGAATATTTGGTCAACACCCACACATTTTTACTCCCCACAGACAGAAGCAAACTACTCAGAGACAGAGTGTTTTTTTTCATTAGTTTTTTATAAAAACTTTCCATTAAGAAACACATACATAAAAATATGGACATTTTTTGCCTAGCACCAACTTGGTACAGAGTGGCCAGAAAGCAATTACTTAAATAATAAAAAAAAATAACAAAACACATCCTCAACCTTGTTAAATAGGCAAGTAAGCATACTTCTACAACAGAAAACAGCAACAACACCAAAGAAAAAACCCTTTCAATATATGTTTATCAGCTTACAGTGACCCCCATGCTAAGAAGAAAAGCAGTGGTACAATGATACCTTTGTAATTTGTTTACCAGATCTACACAGAGTTGTGTCATTCGTCATGCGTCACCTATTAGACAGAGCTGATCACCATAATCTGTGGTGTTCACCGTATTGCATGTACTTCATCTATTTTACATTTCCAGCACATTCTGTATTATAGATAAGTTTTACAACAGGTGAGTTGAGTTACAAATTTCCTTTTCTGGTCACCCTATTTGACACTGTTGGCCCCTCTGCACACTGCTCACATGGACATACTGCTGTTAAATATCATTATATCATATTTTAAAAAGAAAATATATCATATTGAACAGAACATGAATTGCAACATTTACTTCAAGGCACATTCTTATTACTGGACAAACACGTTTGACATACCACAAAAATGTTATCATGGCAGCAGATTGTGTGGGCGTGGGCTGGGTTTATGTGTGATAGTTTTCCGGTAAGTCTGCACTGTTTACTACACTCAAACCTTATCAAACCCACTGAGTTGGCTATAGCAACGCATTATAACGCAAGTACAAACAATAACACAGTGACTCAGCCTTGTATGGTATTGCCTCACAGGGGTTACACACTATGATTATTTATTCAAGTTAGCGTAATGCTGCATACAGCATCACCAATGTTGTCCTACAGCACTGATCACATTCAGCTCATTGGATAGTAAAAAATGACCAATCACTCGACTTCTCCTAATAATTTACTTAATACTAGTATTACAAAGTGCTGTCAAAATTCCTTTCATTCACAGATTTTTATGTCACCATATCTGATCGTCTTTCTGCCCATTCTTCTCGAGTCACTCTGCCCTTGGATTTTGCTCTTTAACTGTCATTCTGTCTTATCTCCTATGTTTAATGAATATTCTTCACGCCAACTAATGTGGTGTACATGTTTCCAATTAATAACTCTTAGCTAAAATATTATTGACTCATTTTTAATCTTCTTTTTAATCTTTCACAGGGTGTTTAGCAGACTGACCTACCGTTAACCATTTTCAGTAACAACTATCAAAAAATGTGACCTGGTTCAAACTGTGAAAAAAGACTACATAAAGGCAGGGGTCACTTTTTCCAGCAGGGGCAAAAGATGAAACTTCTTAAATTTCTAATTGACCCTTCCCGCCCCTTATTGCTTTGCGCTCTAATAACAGCTGAGCAAGCCTCAGTCAGAACCTCGATCAACATCCTCCTTTCCTTTTCCTGTACTTAGCTCGTCTATGTTGAAAGGATAACCATGTGTTTAAAATGGTTAAAAAACAAAAGCTATATATGTCACATGTTAAGACAGCTAATGTTAGCAAAATACTGGCTAACTAGATAGCTAATCTACATCAGTTGTTCGCTGGCTATTTAGGTGGTTAGTTGGCTAATCTACATTCATCGTTAACTAGCAAGTTATATCTGATGAATGAGCTAGCTAATGATTGATATAGATTGTCTCGAACACTAACATTGGGAATTCTGTTTTGCATAGAATGAATCCTTTTGCTTTTGATGAGCCTCTGAACTTAAATCTAGAGTGATACCACTGTTTACTTGTAACCACAAAATATGAACATCTAATTCATATTTATAGCAGATTGCCATGACATCTCTGGGCCTACTCCCAAGGGAATAAACATTGTCTGTTTCTTTGTTTTTTTTAGTTTTTTTTTTAAATACTCTAATACTAAAAAAAAAGCCCATCACAATTTTCAGAGCCCAGGGTGGTGTCCTAAGATTGCTTCCTTTGTCTGACCAACAGTGCAAATTACAAAGATATTCAATTGACAATGATGTAAAAGAAGAAAGAGAGAAAAATCCTCATCTATGAAAAGTTGGAATTATTTCTTTCCTAATCGATAAAGTGCTTTTTTCATTGTCGATTTTATATAAGATAATAACAAAATGCTTACTTTTATTCCCAACATACAAAAGAAGTTATCATGTTTAATACAGCTGACAGTCCATTTTCTGCCAAAAGGCTGTGGACTTACAAATGTTAGTGATGTTTTAAGAAAAATATTCATGCCCTTATATAAGTTTAATCATCACAAAGCACCGGTGCGTCTCTGTGAGCTGTTATTAATGATTTAAAGACAACTCAGCTTATAACTTCAATTTGATAAAGCAAACCTGACAGTCAAGCAGATACTAGAAGCTGCTGGCTGCTGCAAACTCATCACTGAGTTTAGGAATTTCATGAGCAGTAGTAAAAGGAAACTATAAAACTATACTGGCATCTCCCCCAAGTTCACATGGAGCTGAAGGTACAAACAACCTCAAAATCAGATTTAGGTGATTACAGCTGCCTGACCAGATAACTGAGGCAGAAGTTCAGCGCCGAAGAACATCTCAGATTCTTTCTGAACAATAAGTTGAGGGTGTGATGATGTCACTGTGAGTCTGCAGTTAGCCTCCAGCGAAAACAAGCCAGCTGCATAGAGGGATTTAGTCCACTTTGTCATGCTGCAACTCACTGTGTCCACTGATGACAGGAGAGGCATGTACTTTGTGTAAGTTTCCCGGTACACAAACACCGTGTTGCGGAGTGTCATCTCATCTGAGTGATCACACCAGGGGTCTCCTTTTCTTTGATAGGTGATCTGCAGGAAGACTCTGTAGATGCCGTTTCTGGGCACCACTAGAACCCCATTGGAGTAGTTGAAACCTCCATGACAGAAGGTATTTCCAGTCATAGTTTCCCATTCAAGATACTCCCCATTGGTGATGTTGCCTGTAGGAGCTAAGAATGAGAGCAGAAAGGTCGAAATGTGGTTATGAAAAAGTTTCTTGCTTGTGTATCATTCTAGGTAACAAGAACCTAGAAATTCCATTTACTCTTCCTTTCTCTGTAAGTAGTTGTTATCTTCCTCCTATCTTCCTATCTTCCTCCAATTATACCATTCTAGTGACTGTTTCACTATCACTTATCCTGACAACAAGTGGTAGTAAAGGAATACAGGAAACAATTAATGAAAAAACATTAACAGAACACTCATACCAAATAGCTGACTGCAGTCAACATTGTAATGTTACAGCTGGGGAAAAATGTCATTGTTTTAAACCCCTGGTGATAGCAGAAGCGACCTTTATTCCCAAGTCTGCTTTTATAACTGTGCTGACCATCTGCTGATCATCAACCCAGGACTGCCTCTGTGTATCAGATGGGCTTTTGGAGCTAAGCATAAACAGCTACTGAGAGGAGAGCAGTGGCTTTCTGCTCTGTGCCAGCTGTGTGTCATAAGGCACATTACTGTTTCACTGTAAGATAATTTCCAACTACCATACCTGTTGTGCATTTCAAATGTCAAAATGTTTGTCTTCTTTGTAGACCCAGCCAAAGCAATTACAGCCCGACTGATATATCAGTTAGCAGATATTATCTGCTGATATGGGCCCATCGCCGACATAACAGTATTGTACTGATATCAGTGTATATGTTATCCAATATGCACCAACATGGAAACTGTTTTTTATAGTAGTATAAAAGTATATAATGCAGAAGTAATGCTTGTGGTGATATATTGGTGTCACTGCAGAGTTTTTCCAGCAGAGTGCGCTGTGATTTACAATACTATGGCAAACAGCACAGAGTAGCAGAGAAGAAGCAATGTCAACTAGAATTGGTTGACAATGTATATTTTCAATTATTTAACAAGTTAAAGAATATTTAACTTATTCTAACGTATTTCCTTAAAAAAAGCATCCTTCTGCTTTTTTAGTACAAAATAGCTGCTTAATCTACATAATCATCTACGTAATCAGTAAATTTCCCCCCTCTATCGGTATCGGCCTCAGAAATCCCATATTGGTCTGGCTCTAAAAGGAATCCAAGCTATCTGTATTACAGTCTTTGTACAATATAGAAAAACTCTATGGTGCTCTCTAGTATTATTATAAATGTCAAAATGCAGTACATTATAATTTATAACTTCATATAGTTTGGGTCATGTAACACCAACACAATTACTATTACAATCTCTGCTGTATATGCTGAAACTGGCTGCACAACTGTTCTTCTTTTCCTTATTCTAAAGAATGTTGTCGTAAAAATTTGCATTTATTTTTAGGACGTGGGAAACAGGCATTAGTGTCTTTCTAGGAAAGTCAATTTTTTTACCCTCCATGTTTTACCTGTTAGCATGGCGCTTGGATTCTTGAAGTCTTCATGTTGGTGCTGTCTGGCACTAATGTCTAGAAGAGAGAAAATTGTTGTTTTACAAGCTGATGATTGATTTTAGAAGCCCATTTTTCTCACTAGATTATTGAAGAAGACATTTACCTTGTGAGTCGCTGATAGGCTGCGTCATGGGATGTAAGGCAAAAAATTAAGTGTTAACTAACAGTAATGACACACAAAATTCAAATTACACAGACAAAAATAATAATAGTAAATGCAGTAGCAAGTGTGGATTATAATGGCACAACTGTAACTGTAACTGTAACAATAACAGTAATGCATAGTGAATGTTTAGTTATTGTTGTGGAAAACTAAATGCTTAAGAAGCATTTTTTCGCAGCTCTGATTGTTTTTTTTAGTTCACGCCCGTGGATTCTTACAAATTCCATTAGGAACACTAAGAGGGGCCAGAGGAAGCTGATTGTTTCACAGATTATCTGTCTCTACTGACAGGATATAGTGAGAGTTTCAGCAACTTTTAAGAACCTATTGGAGTAGGGATTTTAAGTTAGGGCAGCATTATGTGCCTCGCTGCTTACGTGCCGGAATTCTTTTGGAGGAGAAAGACGGCAAAGAAAAAAAAAAAAAAAAGCTGTCCAGTTACTAAGCAACGAAACTAACAAAAATTACAAGATGGCTTCGTCCTGTTTTTACAAACAACTTAATAATTGTATAGCTACCACGACGAGTTTTGGTAGTTATGTTTTCTTAGTACTGCCAAATTATAAATAATGAAAAGCAGCCGACATTTTCGCTAACACAGACCTACAAGTTTCCAAACAACAGTTTTTCTAGTAAATAGAAGTTGACACTGCAGTATTTCTTGTTTCTGACTCGTTCGCAGCATTGTGTCGCCGTTAAATGTTGTCGCGTGGAGTACAGTGAACACGGGCTGTACTTTAAAGTGCGTGCAGCGAACTTTAAACTTACTTTGGATCCAACAGGAAATAAACTTTGACCTATTTAAAATGCGTTTAGACCCGTAAAATATCCTAAACTTGTAATAGTTAAACATTTTTCATTAAAAATTCAATTTAATTAACTACTTTGATAAACTAGCGCTGTAATAGGACGGCACGAAGTAGACTTTTAGTAGGCTAATATCAAAGCAATAATCATTTGCTCAGCCATTGGCAGCTAAGGTTACAGCGTGTTAACTGTCCGACTGTGGGTTATTCAGGTATACAAAGATTACCTGTCTCTCCGGCCCTCCGTGCACAACCACGATCAGCAAAGCCAGAGCTACTGTGAACAGTAGAAGGAGCGCCACGGCTAAAAACAGGGCCAGTCGCCGAAGTCCAGTCACTTTCTCGCGGAGAAACTGAATCATGGTGTGCTGTCGGTGTAACCCTGCGTCCTTTCCGCAGCCGTCGTCCTCCATGCAGCCGCTGCTTTCCCATTCGTGGCGGATCAGCCGTCGGCTCCCATCCAACATCTCCATTTATCAGCGCGCTGTCGCCCACGTTGAGAACCAGTGCATTGGTAGGTAGTCTCGATTTAAGCGAGTTTCACCCAGTGTCGGGACGCAAACACTAACTTCCTCTTTCTGGAATTCGTTTTTCACCGACTACAAATGTTTCATCTCAAGCACAGCTTCCATACTCCCACTCGAAATAATTTTATGGCACCAAAAACTCCCAACAAGATGTGATATGGGAGAGGTTTTTACTGTGCTTAATATATCCCTCACTTTCTGGCTGTCAGGGACAACCCCATCTGGACTTCTCAGTGATGGAAGGACAGAGCCACCACTAGGAACACAGATGGTAGAGCAATAGAGCAATTCCACTCTCAGCTTTGTCTTTGTTGATGAAGAAAGTAATCAGCAGATGAAAGTGGGCTGCCTGCAGATTCCCAGTCACACATTCACTGTGTACACAAACGCCTGCCAACCTGTGAAAGTAGCTACTGCATTCCTCTGTATCTAAAAAGATATGATTAGTAAACACAAGCTGTGCCTTGGACATGAAGTAGTCATAGATCAGTGGGGGTCGCCAAGGCCTGAACAAACAGAAGGACTATTATCTCATCATCCTGCAGTAAAATAAAGTACATAATTAAAACAACCAAAGAGCTAATAGAACAAGTGCCAGGGAGAAGAAAACACAGAATCTGTCAAAAAGAAGAAGCCTATGTAGTTTGTATGATTGTTAAAAATATTTAAAAAACACACAATACAAAGAATTGTATAAAAAGTTCCTAAAAATCTCTGATCAATACTCACAGGAAATAATCTGCTCAAAATTCATCCAAATTGTTTGTTTTACACAAACTTCATTGTTCACTATCAAGTTTATTAGTTGTTATTTTTATGCACTGAATATAATGTGAAATATCCATAAAATATGTCATTTAATCAGTTTACTCAATGATAGAAAAAGGCTCCCTTAAGGCAGAAGGTTGGGAACCACTGTTATAGACCAGAATGCACAGTGAATGTCTCATTATTGATGCTATTTGTAAGGAAACGTTAAAGGCTGGCAAAAAGATTGTTGTAACTGGATTTAAGGAGCTAAATGGAAATCAGAAACATAATTTTCCTTATGCAGGCTATTAGAGCAGACACAAGTCAACAGCCCTCAGGGGCCGATCAAGAGAGGTGGCATAGGGTGGCAGCTGACTAAACACAGAAATAAAATACCTGGCCACTCCAGTTTGGTGTCAAATGCTGTCAAATTTAACAAATTAATTTGGATTAATTTTATTAGAATAACATGTTCAAATTGGAAATTAATTTAATAATCTGTTATTGCCACATTGTAGATTAAGTCAAAGGCAGATTTATTGGCATCTTGCAGTGTAATTGTAAATCGCAACTCCCTCGCTTTACCCTCCCCCTCTGGGCTACTGCTACCACTAGCGGAATTCTCAGCCTAGTGGAAAAACTATACACTGTCATATCTACATGCATACAGCCTATTAATGATCACACTTGTTGTGGTTGATGAATACATGCACAGCGATGTTAATTGTGTCATCATAATTCTTCTTCTAGAACAGTGGTTCCCAACCTGGGGGTTGAAACCCAGACTAGGGGTCACTAATGCTTTATGAGGCCTTCTTGATTTTAAGGCATGCAAGAAAACTTTGGTGAAGAAAAAGACATTTTCTTATAGAACAATGGTCAAGCGTCTGGCACAAGAAAACACTGAATTTGTCAAAAAAGAAGCCTATTAAGTCATAATATACAGACAGAATTGTATAAAAAGTTCCCTTAACAGGAAATTGCTGAAAATCCATCCAAATCTCTGGTTTTACACAAACTGTCTGCAGTTACTGAGTTCACGATTTGGGTTCATTGTACAGTTTTGAATATTAATTAGGGACCTCCAGCGGTATTTGCTGTTTATTATTTTTGGGCCACTTCGACTGCATATTTGGAGGCTGCAACATGCTCGAAAACTCATGAAACGCGGCGCACATGTCAGTCGTGGCGAAAATAGTCGTATTTTCTAGGGGTCCACTAT